GTCTCTGCTTTTCACGATGCTGTCCAGATTTGTCATCGCTTTCCTCCCAAGAAGAAGGCGTCTTTTAATTTCAGGGCTGCTGTCTCCATCTGCAGTGATCATGGAGCCCAGGAAGATAAAATTTGACACTGCCTCCATATCTTCCCCTTCTATTTCCCAGGAGGTGATGGGACCAGTGGCCATGATCTTAGTTTTTTTGATGTTGAGTTTCAGACCGTTTTTTGCACTTTCCTCTTTCACTCTCATTACAAGGTTCTTTAATTCCTCCTCACTTTCTGCCATCAGAGTGGTATCATCTGCATATCGGAGGTTGTTGATATTTCTTCCGGCAATCTTAATTCCGGCTTGGGTTTCTTCCAGTCCAGCCTTCCGCATGATGTATTCTGCATATAAGTTAAATAAGCTGGGGGACAATATACAGCCTTGCCGTACTCCTTTCCCAATTTTGAACCACTCAGTTGTTCCATGACCAGTTCTAACTGTTGCTTCCTGTCCCACATATAGGTTTCTCAGGAGATGGATAAGGTGGTCAGGCACTCCCATTTCTTTAAGAACTTGCCATAGTTTGCTGTGGTCCACACAGTCAAAGGCTTTTGCATAGTCAATGAAGCAGAAGTAGATATTTTTCTGGAACTCTCTGGCTTTCTCCATAATCCAGCGCAAGTTAGCAATTTGGTCTCGAGTTCCTCTGCCTCTTCGGAATCCAGCTTGTACTTCTGGGAGTTCTCGGTCCACATACTGCTGAAGCCTACCTTGTAGGATTTTGAGCATAACCTTGCTAGCGTGTGAAATGAGTGCAATTGTACGGTAGTTGGAGCATTCTTTGGCACTGCCTTTCTTTGGGATTGGGATGTAGACTGATCTTTTCCAATCCTCTGGCCACTGTTGAGTTTTCCAAACTTGCTGGCATATTGAATGTAGCACCTTAACAGCATCATCTTTCAAGATTTTAAATAGTTCAATTGGAATGCCATCACCTCCACTGGCCTTGTTGTTAGCCAGGCTTTCTAAGGCCCACTTGACTTCGCTCTCCAGGATGTCTGGCTCAAGGTCAGCAACTACATTGTCTGGGTTGTCCGGGATATCCACATCTTTCTGATATAATTCCTCTGTGTATTCTTGCCACCTCTTCTTGACGTCTTCTGCTTCTGTTAGGTCCTTCCCATTTTTGTCTTTTATCATGTTCATCTTTGCGCAAAATGTTCCTCTAATATCTCCAATTTTCCTGAACAGCTCTCTGGTCTTTCCTTTTCTGTTATCTTCCTCTATTTCTTTGCATTGTTCATTTAAGAAGGCCCTCTTGTCTCTCCTTGCTATTCTTTGGAAGTCTGCATTCAAGTTTCTGTAACTTTCCCTATCTCCCTTGCATTTTGCTTCCCTTCTCCTCTCTGCTATTTCTATGGCCTCGTTGGACAGCCACTTTGCTTTCTTGCATTTCCTTTTCTTTGGGATGGTTTTCGTTGCTGCCTCTTGGACAATGTTACGAGCCTCTATCCAAAGTTCTTCAGGCACTCTGTCCACCAAATCTAGTTCCTTAAATCTGTTCTTTACTTCCACTGTGTATTCATAAGGGATTTGGTTTAGATTATACCTGAGTGGCCCAGTGGTTTTTCCTACTCTCTTCAGTCTAAGCTTGAATTTTGCTATGAGAAGCTGATGATCAGAGCCGCAGTCAGCTCCAGGTCTTGTTTTTGCTGACTGTATAGAGCTTCTCCATCTTTGGCTGCAGAGAATATAATCAATCTGATTTCGATATTGCCCATCTGGTGATTTCCATGTATAGAGTCGCCTCTTGTGTTGTTGAAAAAGAGTGTTTGTGATGACCAGCTTATTCTCTTGACAAAACTCTATTAGCCTTTGCCCTGCTTCGTTTTGAACTCCAAGGCCAAATTAACCTGTTTTTACTTTTATCTCTTGACTCCCTACTTTAGCATTCCAGTCCCCTATAATGACAAGAACATCTTTCTTCTGTGTCAGTTCTAGAAGGTGTTGTAAGTCTTCATAGAATTGTCTATCCAAACAAACTGCACCAAAGCACAGAAAGAGTTCTGACTCCTGTCCTCTGAAGATGTCGGACACAGAGACTGGCGAAACATTAGGAAGAACAACCTTCAGAACACGGCCAAAGAGCCTGAAAAACCCACAACAATCAACTTCATAGAACTGGTCAATTTCAGCCTCTTCCGCATCGGTGGTTGGTGCATAAACTTGGATTACTATGATGTTGAAAGGTCTGCCTTGGATTCGTATTGAAATCATTCTATCATTTTTGAGATTGTATCCCAGTACAGCTTTTCCCACTCTTTTGTTGACTATGAGGGCTACTCCATTTCTTCTACAGGATTCTTGCCCACCATAATAGATATGATAATTGTCTGAATTGAATTTGCCCATTCCCATCCATTTTAGTTCACTGATGCCCAGGATGTGAATGTTTAATCTTGCCATCTCCTGTTTGCCCACATCCAGCTGACCAAGGTTCATAGATCTTACACCTAGGGTTAGATGATGATAAAGGTGGCGTGATGCCAACGGTCTATAAATTGCTGCATTACAGATTGGCAGGAGATGCCACAATGTTCCTTGCCATCATAGGGTCCCTGGCTTTTCCCTGCTTTTCTTCCTTGGGGGAAATCTCAGCTGAAGTCCTTCTTTCCTAAATCAGTATTATTAAACTTTCTATTTTACATTAAACACTGTTTTGGTATCTTATACAGTGGTCTGACAGTCACAAATCAATGATGCAGCATTATTAAGAGAAAAATTGAAGGGACTGACCTGTTGTTCCAGATACTCTTGAAAAGATTTAATGCTTCCTGAAGCCGGTTGGTCTGATTGTCCTCTCGTATAACCATGTTGTAGCTACTGCTGGCCACCACAAATATGATAGCAGTCACATCTAAAAACAAAAATAAAGAATCAAGAATTCCATGAAACCTCCAAAAATCTTCTCTATGGTTCTTTTTGTTACCTTATACATTCTAAGAAGAAACAAAACAGGAGAAAATGAAAAAGAACAGGGAAGAGTCAAACAGAAAGTGTAAGCTTTCTATAGCTATGATGGAAATCAGAATATAGATGCCAAGAATTAGGATAGAAAGCAGCAGGGTCAGAAGAACACATGGGAACAGAACTGAAAGGGGGAAAGTGCTACCAAAGAGAGGAGAAAAAGATAGCTAGAATGCAGTTGTAATGAGCATGGGATGAAGGAGAGAGACAAAGGAGAGGTATCTGTTAAGGCGATCACTCCTTTTTGTCCATTGCACACGTTAATAGCAAAAATACCCCTTTAAACATTACATGTCGCACTCCTGTCAAATACTCTCTAAGTAACATTTCTTGGAGAGGATAGTAAAAAAGAAATAGTGGAGGAACAGATAATGAAGAAAAGGATATACAATTCTAAAGGAATTTTCCTCTTCCATTTCATACTATACCTTCTGCATAACACTGCCTCTTTCTTGGGAGACACAGACTCATAGGATCCAGGATTCTATGAGTCTGTGGTTGAGTTCCTCCAGACACTTATAATGCTTTTCAAGCTCCTATACATTTGATATCAATTCACAGGAGATATGAAGCAGATTATGAATGAGGCAACCAGAAGCGGAAGGAGCAAAAGGGAAAGCTGAATGGAACAAGTAAAGATTTAATCATGGCAGCAGCCAGAATTCTTCAGTGAGTTGAAAAGCTTTGACTAAGAGAAACAGATTTACTGAGCAGGGGAAAACCCAGAATAATAACAAAGAAGAGCTTACTTTTCCTTGATAGTGCAGACTAGATACTCAAAGTATGCAAAAAGTTCTGGTACTATAATCCTGTCTCCTTCCTAAATTTTCATTAAACAATCTCAGCAAGAGTTCTAGAATTATACGGATGTTGATAGTATTCTACAGAATCCCACTGGTATTTTGTATCACATACAGTATCTCTTAATGGCAATTCTGGTCTCTTTCTCTTTTGTAATGTTCACATTAGTAGCAGACAAATTAGACTTTTAACCACAGTGCAAATGTTCCTTAGTGCTAACAGTTGTCTACTGAGGCATCTCATAAGTGTACTGATTTATTTTGTTCAAATCTTTCATTAAAAACACACACATGACTTTTTCACAAATGAGACAACAATCAGCTATCTACTCTGTATATTTCAGAGCACTGGAATCCCCATTTATCCTTTCTTTTAGATTTCTGGATATTGAAATGTTAGAAAGTGTCCAATGGTTAACCCGGATTTGGCCATCGAGGATTTATTATGAGTTCACAACAACCTGAGCCTCTCCAAATATGAAGGAGAGACTACTAACTGATTTTTTAAATCAATGTACAAATATTCATTACAATGCTGGTTTAATGCATTCTCAGTCTTACCATTAAAACACTGGATCCATTTTCTGCGTTCATCTCTTTGTCCACCAACATCAAACATACTAGGAAGAAAAATAAAAGTCTGAGTGACTCAGTAGTGTTTTCCTTAATTGAATTATATGACTGGACACAGGGAAAGTGACATTCGAGGCATTGTGGAATTCTTTTTTAGATTCCTTCTCCCCTTCCATGACAAGGGACAATGACATGTTCTTAGAATTAGAACTATTATAGGTGCCTCAGTTAACTACTTAATAAAGGCTCCTCCAAACATCAGTTTCACAAGTTGAAAACTGATAAGAATTGTGCCATATCATTTTGCATTAGCAGAATAATTGCAAAGGCAAAACATGACATTTGTACATTTCAATTTGTAAACAGATAATCTAAGAAGGGAAGACAACATGCTATGTATGTTTGGGAGAGTAATTTCAGTCTAGAACAATTGTACTCACAAGTGCACCAGTTTCCTTGCATATGATTATTTCTAATTATCAGATAAGACATACATCTATTATAGATTAGACCCCTGTTTAGCTTAATCTCAGTTCTGAAGTTATTTGCTATTTTTAGCTATACTTACTGAAAGTTTACTTTGTCCACCTGAAACTTGGTTTCAAATATTCCTGATGTCAGAACTCTGCATCTAAGAAGATCCTTAAAAAAAAGAAAGAAAGCAGTTATTGAGGAAGTTTCTGTCCTACCACTAAAGAATGCGTGTTTCAAAAGACCAAACAAACCTATGAAGTTTAGAGAAGGACGGAACTGTGTGCTAATGTGGAAGCGTGTAGCATAACTGGTTAACATTTCAGTTATGCATCTATGAATGGTGCATAGTATTTATTCATTTAAAAACTTATATTATGCTATTCTCACACCACAAAAGGAAATACAAAACTGCTTACAACCGGGGAAAAAACCCATACACTAAAATCAGAACTGTAAGTTGTCATAAAAACTAAGAACAATAAAACCTAGCAAAAGCATATTGGTTCTTCATGAGGACCTTAAACAGCAAGTCTTTCCTCACATGACCTTGTTCTAGTTTCTTCTTTATTTGTTTTTTTAAGCTGTAAGCTCCTGATTTGGCTTGGCACAAATGGCTAAAAAAGGAGTGTGAAAGCCGCAGGGATCCAGGGGCAATTTCTCATCACTGGGGGCTGTTATAGGCTATTAAGGAAAGAAAGAAGCCCCCCCCCCCATTAATGTCTGGTTTGAAAAAGTTTTTTTTCCTTTCTTTTTTAAAGTTAAAGATGAATAAGACCATGGAATTTGTTTAAAAAGAGAACTACCACACCTGTAGACTTCCAGAGAAGGCCATTCATATGTGAGGTCACTCTACTGCAGAGAATCTGCTCATACCTGGATGGTTGATTCAAGGAGGTGATGCTAGGATTGCTATCAGGTGAAGTTATCTGCGGATACAGCTAAACTGTCACCAATATGTGTATGACCCTCAGCATTACTTCTCCTTTTATTTTAGTACAGATGAGGTAGCTGATGCTCTGAACTGGGCTTAGACAAGGGAATGAACTGGATGAGGGCCAATAAAATGAAACTTGATCCAGATAACACAGAGATACTGGAGATGGGAAGTTAAATAGTGTTTCACCTGGCTTGAAGAGCATTGCAATCTACTTAAAGGGTGGGTCTCATGGCTTAGGGATAGTATTAGACTCGTCACTAGACACAGGTGTTATTGGGGTGGGTGGGTTAGAATATCTGTTTTATTAGTTAGCTTTTTCCAGACAAGGACTGCATTGCAACTGCTATTCATACTTTGGTAACCTCCTGTTTGGATTACAGCAATCTGTTACACACAGGATTGCCTGTGAATGGCTAAAAAAACTTCAGCTGACAGAAAGAAGGGCAGTGACACCACTATCATATTGTAAGGCAGTAAGTTTGTTTCCAAGTGTTGGTTTTAGCTTTCAAGACCTAAATTGCTTGGGGTCAGGTTACTCAAATCTTCTCTAATACTCATCTATCCTCACCATAAATTCACCAGATGAGGCTCTCTTCTGCATGTTCTCACCAAAGGGAATGAGAAGATGACTATAAATCAGAAGATTTTTTTTTTCAATGGAAGCAACTTGTTTGTGGAACATCCTCCTTGATGAAAGTTTTGTTCACCTCCTACGTTGTGATCTTTGGGGCGCTAGGTTTTTATTCTACCAGGCATTTAAAAATAGTTGTAACATTTTAACACCTTTGTACTTTTGTCTTGCTGGTTGCTTTAGTCTGTATTATATGCTGTAATACTTTATTATTTGGTACCTATTTTTTCTGCTTCTTCAGCCATTAGTTTCATTGCACTATTGCCTGCATTTGAAAATATATTTTTATCAGATTGTACACGGTCTCTAGAAATATATGGCTAATAGATTATTTTAAAATGCATTAAACAGATAAACAAAATAAATAATAAAACATCAAAGAAATGAGAGCAGCATAGAAATATAACATGCACACAGATAAAGTCAGCCTTGACACTTTGCAGAAGTTGCAGCAGTAAAAGTGAAACCTGGAATAAGACAGGTAACCTGCTCACCTGGTCAGAGGGTGTATATTCATTCTGCTTCACTATGTCAATCTTGTCTAGAAAACTGTAAGAGAAAAACGCCTCCTTTAATAAAGGTTGTTATTTACTTAATAATACAGCATGTTGGCACTCAGCAAGCCAGCCAAAATTGCGGGAATTCTACTGCTCCTTCACTGAAATCTGCTGGGAGAGATGAAATCTAGTATCAGCCAGGAGTATGTTTCTGTAAGTATACTTATTAAATGAAAGTTTATTTTATTACAAACATAAAAGACATTTAGACCTCGAAGTCTTGGTCATTTATGTCTGAGATTCAAACATATTTGCAATACTGTGGTTGAAGGTTATGTCTGGTAAGGCAACAGTGCATCCCTAAGCCACAAGAGGGAATGGATAATAGCCCCTCTGTGGTATCTCAGCTACAAAGGACAGAATGATATTGCCAAATCCATTGTAGCAATTCTTGAAGTTCCTTATTTAGCCTGTCCAAAATTGTTTTAACATACCTCATAACAACAGATTAGTTAAGTTTGTGTAACTTGCTGTAGCTAACTGCAGCAAAACCATAAGGTTAGGTATGCAGAAAAACTGGGTACATAACCATGCACGAAACTGAAATACACCTCAGCACCTGTTGAATTCTGTGACAAGTTACACAAAATTTGCCTGAACATCAATACAATTCTGGCCATTCTTGCATGATTTCAAACAAAAACTTTAGACTACAATGAACTGGGAATAAATAAGATTTTCTACTGATTGTCAGTTCACATATGAAAAAAATAGACAGACATAAGTTAAGAGCCAGAACTATCGGGAACACAAATTAAACAGCTTGGACAACTCACACATAAAAGCAAGACTGCTTTAACTGAGATCCATTTAATCATTTTGCTACAATATTTCTAAATAAGTTAAGTATGTCACAGACTGTTGAAGCATTTATGCAATTTGATGCTCTACTTTTTCAGTTTTTGATCTGACTCTTTTCTTCCTGTTTGTGTGTTTGTTGTTTGTTTTTAATGTACCATGCACAATATTCATTCATTCATCCAACCAATCAATATAAAATGGATGTCTTTAGATTTGCCTCAAACATGCTCTTCAACTGTGTTCCTCTATGACAGAAAAGTGTATAATGAATAAGAACAAATTCTTTGTTGTTTAGTCGTTAAGTCGTATCCAACTCTTCGTGACCCCATGGACCAGAACAATTTCTAGTCCCAACAAATATAGGAATAGTTTCTGTGTACTTGTTACAGCAGATACCTGGTGTCATGAAACAGACACAGTGACAGAATAGAATTTGGGAGACCTGGGTACAAGGCCTTGCTTGGTCTTGGAATCCTGGGGGCAGGAGAAATTGGCAAAACTACTTTGGCCCATCTCATGAGAAGAGAAGACTCCTTGGAAAAGACCCTGATGTTAGGAAATTACAAAGGCAAGAGGAGAAGGGGATGACAGAGGGTGAGATGGTTGGACAGTGTCATTGAAGCTACCAACATGAATTTGACCCAACTCCGGGAGGCAGTGGAAGACAGGAGGGCCTGGTGTGCTCTAGTCCATGGGGTCACGAAGAGTTGGACAAGGCTAAACGACTAAACAACAACAACAACTCCTTGAGTATCCTGTTGATTTGGAACAGGATAAGTTAACCCTAAGTCAACTCCTTGAGTATCCTGTTGATTTGGAAAGCTCCATTAGGGTTACTATAACTTGATTCCAACTTGACAGTACATAACACAAACTCTTGTTATAGTAGAATGTTGAGGAAAATCAATGTACCTCATGTAATGCTATCAAATTCATATATTTCAACAAAGCCAATGCAGAACAATCACACCAAAAATTCTCTGATACAACCATACCTAATAATAAGGAACAAGTGGGACCGCCAATAAAATTTTGCCATTGTGGCTACACAGGAATCCACATTTGCAGAACAAACTTATTATCAGCAAATAACAGTGGTCCCCAACCTTAGGTAACTGAGATGCTCTTGTACTGCAACTCCCTGCATCTTCTACAAAGTATGAGAAGTTTGCCTCCCCCCATTGTGGAGCACTGGGATACCCGTGGCTTTCTCTAAAGTCCAAGAAGAAGCATGTGTGATCCCCAGATCTCTGGTAGCTGTCCACTCTGGTGTACAGGTAGATCCTTCTTCCAAATCTGTCAAAAGTACTGCTTTTGAGTCACTGTTTTGAGAATTTCTGATTCTGAGATTTCAAGTTGGTGAAATCAACTTCCTCCCAACTAAATGGAAACCCTATATATTAACAACTTCCATAAATCATATCATTAACAGCTCTGCTCAAATCTTACAGATTAAGGGCTGTAGCTTCCTTTACTGTTTGAATGCTGGTCTCAATATAGTCATTATTTGCTGCTAGGTTTACTGTTAAATCTTTAAAACTTCAGTACAAAAAGGATATACTGAGACCAATTTGAATTTATCTCCAAAATCTATGAACTATTTCATATATGTAACAACACAGATTTGGCACATTATGCTGTATGAAAATTATAGTGTAATTTTATACATTTTTTACTTGGAAGCTAAGTGCCCTCATGCATAATAAGAATTACTCTCTACTAAGTGTATGGTCTTGTAATTGAGTATTGTAACTGTTCATTCATAAATATGCCTCAGGGAACTCAGAGATGCTCACTCTCAAGTAAGTGTGTACACAACTGAAGTCCTGCTTTCACAAAACTGCTACACAATCCAGCTTTTACAGAACATACCTGGAAGTGGTACATGAGTATCTTTCTAATTTACAAGATGGTCACACTAGTAATAACAGTTTCTGCCATTACAGTGGTGCCCCGCATGACAACGATAATCCGTTCCGGGAAAATCGTTGTTAAGCGAAATCATCATTATGCAAAAAGCCTTTCCCCATTGGAATGCATTGAAACCCATTTAATGCGTTCCAATGGGGAAATTACCTCGTCGTCCAGCGAAGATCGCCTATAGGGAAGCAGTTTTCGGAGCACGATCAGCTGTTAAAATGGCTGCCTTGCAAAACATGGGTCTGGAAAACGCAGGGCAGACATTTTAGGAACCCGACAATCAGCTGTAAAGATTGTCGTCTTGCGAATAAACGGTCCGCGAAGCATGCACCAAATCGTCATCAAGCAGAATTTCCCCCGTAGGAATGACTGTTTTGCAAATCGCTATAGCGATTGCAAAAAGTCATCATCATGCGGTTTTGTCGTACAGCGGGGTCGTCTAGCGAGCTACCACTGTATACAAGTATGCTAATAGCACAAACGAATGTCTTCAAGTAGGTTTTTGGAACAGGAGTGTTATGTGTAATGTTTTGAAGTGAAAGGTACAACCAGTAAATATCATACACTGTACTAAACGTATAGTAATTATAGATATTGAACCATAGTGTGATTATGACTGTTTCAGGAGGAGATGGGCACCAGAAGTAACACAAACTGAAGAATGCAGACACTATTAGCTTCAAGCTTTCATAGTATTTTCAGATTTCATTTTGAGAGCAAGCACACAGATATATTCATGTTCCTGTGGCCCACTACTTATTTTGGACATGCTGACACAGTTACAGAACAAGTAAGAAGATTTCCAAATACTGCCTGGGGGATGGGGAACTGTCTTGCTGCTGTTGATACAGAACATTTTGACTCCTGTGTCTTCCTTGAAAAACACCACCAACACACAAGAAGCAGTACCAGAATGCTCTACTGGAGATGGACTTCAATGGTTCCATATACACTAGGTAAAACAAGCCTGAATGCAGCAAATATTCCACCTGCTTCTCCTCAAGTCTCAACATTTAACAACCAAATACATTTAAAAACAAACACATTTGGTCAGAAGCCTGTCACTGTGCAGCAGTTACCTGTCAAATCACAAACAGAGATGAGGGCATTCATATTCATATACCACCACACAGCTGGAGTTAACTGGGGTTAACCCCATCTCTAACCACAAACCTTTCCAAAAGCAATATTATGCTCATTGCAATGTGTGCATGTGATATAAGCATGAAACCAGTTTTTTTAAATAATAATAATAATAATAATAATAAATATATCTGCAAAGTCTCATTTCTGTGTGGAGATGGGGAGCAACACTCTGAAGCAGGAGAGCACAATCGGCAAGCTCTTCAAGACAGAAATATGCCATGCCACACAGAATGCTCAAGCACAGTTCTCATATGGCATGAAGTTGTGTACGAACACATTAGCATGCCTATCTCTATAGTATTCCTGCAAGTAACCCAAGGGCAGCATCATACCATACAGCTACTTACTAAGCTATCTGGCCCAGAACCCCAGGGGCATTACTGAAGTGCTTTACAGACCAAGAGTTAGTTACAGATTAAGAGAAGCATCTCTGTGACTGTCATCTCCGAGCCCCCCAATGAGGATGGACTGGAACCCTCTGGACCTGATACGAGTGAGAAACAGCCAGGTCCTGCAGACCCTGGACTTCTGGGGGTGCAGGAGGCTGGACTCTCAAATGAAAGACAGTCTGTACCAGAATCTGTGGTAGAGGCTGAAGTCCTTCCCAGCCTGAGAGAACACAGGAAAATGACTGCAGGTAGAAGCCACAAAACAAAGTGCATGGCTGCAGGAGAAGACTAATCAAAAAAAGAATCTACCTCAGGAGTAGGGGGTCAAGGGAAAACTCCCAGGGAGGACCAGCAAATGAAATCCTACTCTACCAACTAGTCAAATGCCTGCACTTGAGCCATGCATAGATCTCCAGCAATACAAACCTAAGTCAGGGACTGAGAGTCTGTTGCATGCAATGACTGAAATCCAGTAGTAAGTTACAACTAGAGAAGGCTTCCTGAATCAATGGAACTTGTGGGAGAATTGACTCACAAAATCCTCCCTGATTCAATGGGCCTGCTTTAGCTGTGACTTACTACTGAATTCCACATACTGTCTTTTCTAGTTCCAGACTTTGCCTGACTTTCACTGTTAGCTCCCCAGCTATGTACGAGTTTGAACTGTTATGACTTGACAGTCTTTTGTAGATTCCTTCCGACTCAATTATTCTATAATTCTATAACTAGTCAGACC